TGACAGACTTGGTTGGGCTCCCCGTTGGTACCGTGCGGTAGTTCCACGAAAATTTCTGCGTCAACGGGTGCGTAGAGAAATGCGTTCGCGACATCGATTTGCCGTAGCTTCTTTTTCTTCATGGCGGCGATTGCGAGAAGGATTCGGAGCGAAGTGTGTCGGCTGACCGGAGCGAAGGTTTCGGTGAAGTCTCGCCCGTGTTCTTGGTCGAAGCCGCGCACGACCCATCGTGCCTTGAATTTGTCGATGGTACCGTCGGCCTTTGTCTTTACGCGGAAGACCCATTTCCCGGTGAGAATGGTCTTGTTCCGTGCTACGCCGATGGGAACAATTTTCCACGTGTTGCGCTCCTCTAATGCCTTCAGTTCTTTGTCCATGGCTTCGCGCCATTTTTCCCTATGCTCCCCCCCCAGAGCCTGCTGAAGTGTGGCAGGCTCCTTAGGAATGGCCGTGCCGTGGACTGCGGTGACGAGCCCGAGTATCTGGAGTCCGTGTAGCGGGGGAGTGACATGTCCGCGGGATAAGCAGCTTCGTCTCCCGCTTCCGGATCAGGTGCGAAGTTGGGTCCTACGCGTTCTGCTTCGTTGGTGTTTACTTGTGCAGGTGTAACGTAACCGTTGTCAGCGAAATGGTAGTAGGTTTCTGCATTGATGCTCTCGCGTGGGTTTTCGTCGTCCATTGGCACGTTGACGGAGCAGTAGGGGAGGGGTCCGGCTTCTTCCGAGACTCCTTCCACGTTCTGCTCGTCCCAGTCAGCTTCGTCTTCTGCCGAAGCGAAGGCTCGGTCTCCACGGAAGCCACCTGTGGGGTCTCGGTTTTCGTCCAGATTGGCAAGGTACGTCTGCAGTGTGAGTCGCTCGTAGAAAATGACATCACGTGCTGCCACTGTTTCTTTTGTCTCGACGTCGAAAATCTTCCATGCGTTGTAGTGTTTTTCGATGCCCAGGTGTAGTCCCCACTGTGCTCGTTGGGAGAATCGTCCTGCTCGTGCAGATGGAGGTCGGTACTGTACCATGCAGCCGAAGACTCGTAACATTTTTGTGCTGCCCAATTTTCCTGTCCACAGCAGATGCGGTGATGTGTTGTTCGGAAGTGACGATGAAGAGAGCAAGTTGTGCAGCATCACGGCGTGGTCCATTGCTTCTGGCCACTGGTGGGTGGGTAGCCGCATGCCACGTAACAGTTTCCGCATGGTGTTCTGGAGGGTCCTGTTCATCCTCTCTGCTACACCCTGCTGTTGATGGGCGTAGGGAAGGGAAATGAGCCGCTTGATTCCTCTCTCTGCCAGATACTGCTTGAACCTTTGTGAGGTGTATTCTCCTCCCCCGTCTGACTGGAAGCTCTTTAGTTTGACGCCCAATTCCCTTTCTGCTACGGGGAGCCAGGCGACGAACGCTTCGAACGCCATATCCTTGCTTGGAAGATTCAGGTGCCAAACGTAACGTGTCGCGGCGTCGATGAACGTGATTTTGTAATTGTACGCGTTCTGCCCCGGCTCGCGATTGTACAGGATTTCGCTGTACACCTTCTCGAGTGGCGCGTAAGCTGGTGCGCTTGGGTTATGGTGAGACGCGAACGGTCGATGTGGTAAGTCAGCTTCAGTGCAGGTGAAGCACGTTCCGCGTACTCGTTGAAGTTCTCTTCCATCGGTCAGTAGTAGTGAGTCCTTGTCAAGTACTCCTGCTCTTATCGTATTGTTTAATACTGTGTTGCTTGGGTGTCCCATCCTTGCGTGGCAGGTGCTTTCGTCAGCGCGATGTCCGGGTGATCGTCGGTACAGGTCGGAGTTGGAGTAGAAGTTGGCGGTGAAGTTGGCGCTTCTCGTGGTGCTGGGTGTAGTTGTTGCGCGGGTGTTGGTGGTGTGTCGTCGACGAGGAGCGGTGCTGTTGAAGGGCCAGCGATTGGTGTTGTCGTTCCTGCTGCTACCGTTGATGGTTCTGCTACTGCCGATGTTGTCTCTGCTGCTGCCGATGTTGTCTCTGCTGCTGCCGATGTTGTTTGAATTGTTGCTAACGCCCTTGTTCTTTCTGCCTCAGGGATGGTGTGTGAATACCAGAAGCCTTCTGGACTGAAGTCTGGATCAAGGTCTGGAGGGTGGGTCCAGGAGGAGAAGGTGATGATGCCGTCGCTGTCTGCTGTGCCGAGATCTGGGACAAAGTCAAGAACGAAGACGTTGTTTTTGAGGATCGCCTTTCCGATGTAGAGGCCGCCCTTCCCGTGGTACAGCTTGAATTCCTGGGTGGTGCTATCTGCCTCGAGGTGGATACCCTTCGCCATCAACTGACTGACGCTCAGTAAGTTGTAGCCGAGGCCTTCTGCGATTAAAACTTTGGACATCTGTAGAACGACATTTGTCTCTCGTGATTGAAGTTGTACCACGCCTTGTCGTCGTGTGCGCAGGTTCTGATTATTGGCGACGGTGATGACTACTTCGTGTTGAAGTTGATACTCTCGCTGCACGAAGCGTCCCGAAGAACACATGTGTTGTCCGCAGCAACTGTCCAAGAACCACGTGTCCTTCCCGGATGGCTCGCTCTGGGCGATGGCTGCGTACGTTGGATTCGGTTGAAGTGACTCGCGGCGAGGTGTGGTGTTGTCGAGTTGTTCTTCCGGTGAGTAGTGTGGCGGTGACTCGGTGATGCAGGAATCGGTCAATTTTGCCATGCAACTGACGATGTTCCTTGCTCCTTGTGCAGGTGGTGTCGTTGACGGTTGCGACTGACTCGTGGGGTTTGCCTGCGTTGATGCCACTTGGCTGCTGGAAGGTCGAAGCTGCCGTTGCGGTGGAGTTGACTGTTGTCGATTCGGGCAGTGTGTGCGCGGGTGCCCTGACGTCTTGCAGATGTGGCAGAAAGGAGGTACGGACTTCGGTTGTTGTTGTTTGCAGTTGTTGTAGCGTCGCTGAGTGTGGAATGCGAATTCCGGTGCTGATATCTTCTTCTTGTGTCGTTCTTCTTGCAGGTCCATGTCTTGCTGCTCGGCATGGATTTCGGCGCAGAGTGCTGCTTCGGAAATTCTTCCGTGGGCTCGGAGAATGGCCTTTGTGGCGCGCCATTGAGGACCGAGGCCGCCGATGATGACTGTCACGAAGGCGTCTTCAGAAATCGACCCCCCGCATCGCAGAAGCTTGTCGCGCAACTCGCGACATCGACTGATATACGCCATTCCTTTCTCCCCTGGTTTCATTTCGACCGTTGTCAGTTGCGCCATTAACCGACTTTGACTTACGCTGTCTGTTGCTTGATACAGGCTCTTCAAGTGGTTGTACGCGAGCTCCGCGGAGTTGCCGTAACCCCGGTAAGACCGTATGTTCTGCTGTTGAGTTGGGGTGATGTTTCTCAGTAGAATCGTGTACGCCATCATCGACTGATAGGTGTACTGCTGCTTCTCATACTGTGTGCCGTTCGTTGGGTATGGCAGGGATCCCTCGAAGAAGCCAAGTATCTGCGCGCCTTCCATCATTAATTCGAATTCAAACGACCAGGTGAAGAAATCCTTTCCATCGAAAGGCCTTGACGTCTGCATCTTCAGAACGTGCGCGAACTGCGACTGAACTTGCAGTGCGTCCAGTGACTTTTCTTGTCCAGGTGAGGGCTGCGGGTGTGGCATGAAGCTGATGGACCCGCGCTCGTACGGAGCAAAGGTAGGCTGCTGCTGTTGATTTCCTCGTGCGTATGATGAGCCGTCGAGACTCATGGGAGTTGCTCCGTTGTTGTTGCTGTTGTATGACTGCGCAGGTGCCGATTGCTGGTGTTGCTCGTAGAAGGACATGAAGGAGAAAAATTTCTCCATCATGCTCTGGTCGAAGTCTGCAGGTTGATTCGCAGGAGTCTCGGTGGATGTTGCCCTGGGTCTTGTTGCCGTACCCTCCTCTGTCTGTAGGCCAGAGGCAGGAGGTGGAGTAGGAGTAGTGCCCTGGGAGCCGTTGGAGGAGCTCCTTTCCTTTTGTGTAGCCATGCTTGTTGATGCTGTTGGTATTTTAATAGAAGTCGAATTCTCCCTGACTGCTCTCATACCATGTTGGGCTGAGAAAGCCCTTAGGATCTTTACAGGGATGAACTCTAGGTAGGACTGATGTAATAGCGGAAGCGTTTAATGAAGAGATTGTGAACCACCTTGCGCTAGTATGTGAGGGCAAAGTAAGTTGATTAAAACAAAGAGATACAAGATTATATATAAGTGTACAAGGAATACGAAGAGATACGGTTGTAACTACTTTACTGTTGCTGTTGCGGTTCGATACAGTGACGACTCGGGCAACTGCTCTGTAGCGAGTCAGTTGTGTGTCCTTGCTGTCGCGCTGTATTTGTCAGGTCAAAGGTCGCTGACCTTTGACTTTCGCGTAACCTCCAGCAGTTGTTCAACCTCCGAGGGTTGACTCGCTGGTGCCTCGATATGCTTTGCTTCGCTTGTGCCTTGGTGTTTCGACACGACAGAGGCGCTTAAGACCGATTGTTTCCAACAAGTTATGCACGTTGAACACGAGTAACAAATGGTGATGCTTGGCAAACGGAACGAATGGCAATTATGATAGCGGCTGCAAACGGATGGTGATGGCATGCTTATGATGTTGCGAGGTTGCCAAGGGCAGGGATCCGGGAGGTAGAAGAATCGGGGTGGTGCAGTGTTGGGTTTGCGGGGCTGGTTGGGATTGAAGGGTTTGATGGGTTTGCAGGTGGGATGGTAATGAGCGATACAATGTCGATGCGGATGGTGGTTCCTCCACCTAGATGCGGCACTGCAGCGCTGCGGCGCAGCGGCGCGAGAATGCCACAGCCTCTCTTCCTGCTGTCCATGAGCCGGTGAAACTAGCTGCTTCCACACTAACGCAGTACACAGCCACGCTGCGACAGAACCTCAGATCAGATGTAGGATGCCGCGGGGGTCCTCCACAATATTCTTGATGCGGCGTCCTCAGAACAGCACGGCCTCTCTGCCGTCAATGCACCAGTGAAAGCTGCCTACTTCCCCACATAACACAGCGCAACTGCAGGTGCGACTTATATGTCCAGGAGAATACGCCTAGGATCCTCCACAATGTCCTTGATGCGGCGCAGGAACAGCACGGCCTCTCTGCCGTCGATGAGGCGGTGGTCGTATGTGAGCGCCACGTACATCATGGGGCGGGCCACGATGTCCTTGCCGATAACGACAGGGCGCTGCTGAATGGCATGCATGCCCAGGATGGCCGACTGCAGGCAGAGATGGTAATGGGGCAGGGGTGCGGGGGAGAGGGGAGGGGGACGGGGGGAAGGGGGGAGGAAGGAGAGATAATGAAGATCCAGCCATGAAAGGCGGTGGTCGTATGTGAGCGCCGCATACATCATGGGCCGCGCCCAAACGAACATGAGACGTCTCCAAAGTCACCTGGAGCATCTCAGCACTCACCTGAGGCGGGTTGATGATGGGTGTGCTGATAAGACTCCCGTACACGCCCCCATTGGAGATGGTGAAGGTGCCACCCGCCATGTCATCAATGGATATGGTGCCGTCCCGCGCCTTCTTGCCCAGCTCCTGAGGTAATGACTCACCTGGGGGACCTTGGAGCTTACCTGAAACATCTCATAACTCACCTGAGGCGGGTTGATGATGGGCGTGCTGATGAGGCTGCCATACACGCCCCCATTGGAGATGGTGAAGGTGCCACCCGCCATGTCATCAATGGAAATGGTGCCGTCCCGCGCCTTCTTTCCCAGCTCTGCTACAGTGCGCTCCACGTCCACGAAGCTCATCTCGTGCACCTTGCGAATCACCGGCACCACCAGGCCCTGCAAATGGGGGGCAAGCAATGAGAAAGGGGGGCAAAATAATTCAGGAAATGATGGTGGCTCGCCCTCAGGATCACATGCATTTCTTGCCCAGCTGTGCCCAGCTCTGCCACGGTGCGTTCCACGTCCACACAGCTCATCTCATGCACCTTGCGAATCACTGGCACCACCAGGCCCTGCCAAAAGGGGGCGCGGGGGGCACAACGGAGAGCACAAGGGATCAAGATATAGTGTTCGCCCTCCTGTTCACATGCACCCCCTGCCCAGCTGTGCCACGCTGCACTCCACGTCCACACAGCTCATCTCTGTGCCTTGCAGATCACTGGCACCACCAAGGGGGCACAGGGGACCCAAGGGGGCACAGGGGACCCAAGGGGGCACAGGGGACCCAAGGGGGGCACAGGGGACCCAAGGGGGCACAGGGGACCCAAGGGGGCACAGGGGACCCAAGGGGGGCACAGGGGACCCAAGGGGGGCGCAAAGAGGGCAAAAAGGGGGCACAGCTGAGAGGATAAGATGATAGCCTGCTTTTCCACATGCTCCACATGCTTATTTGTAAAGGCCATCATCTCATGCCTCTTGCACTGCGAACCACTGGTGACACCAGGCAGCCCTGAAGCGAGGGCATATACAAGAGACAACAGGATGATGGTGTGACCGGCGTTACAAATTCCATGAAATCAAGATGAGCTTTGCACTATAAGAAAGAGTGAGGGCGTGGCAGCTCACCTTGGGAGTGCCGACAGCAATGCTGACGTCCATGTAGTCGCGATACACAATGTCATCCCCATAGATCGCCGCATTCGATCACCCCACGTTGGCAGGCAACGCACCTTGGCAGGCAACGCACCTTGGCAGGCAACGCACCTTGGCAGGCAACGCACCTTGGCAGGCCACGCGCCTTGGGAGGCCACGCACCTTGGCAGGCCACGCACCTTGGCAGGCAACGCACCTTGGCAGGCCACGCACCTTGGCAGGCAACGCACCTTGGCAGGCCACGCGCCTTGGGAGGCCACGCACCTTGGCAGGCCACGCACCTTGGCAGGCAACGCACCTTGGCAGGCCACGCACCTTGGCAGGCAACGCACCTTGGCAGGCCACGCGCCTTGGGAGGCCACGCACCTTGGCAGGCCACGCACCTTGGCAGGCAACGCACCTTGGCAGGCCACGCGCCTTGGGAGGCCACGCACCTTGGCAGGCCACGCACCTTGGCAGGCCACGCACCTTGGCAGGCCACGCACCTTGGCAGGCCACGCACCTTGGCAGGCCACGCACCTTGGCAGGCCACGCACCTTGGCAGGCCACGCACCTTGGCAGGTAGCATACCTTAGGAGTGCCGACAGCAATGCTGACGTCAATGTAGTCGCGATACACGATGTCATCCCCATCGATCACCGCGTTCACTGCTGGCTCCTGCTGCAGCGCACTGGATGCCGCCTGGCATGGATGGGATGGGAGCACACAGACAGACACAGAGACAGACAGATGTACACAAACAAAGACACAGATGCACACACGTCAATGTAGTCACGATACACAATGTCGTCCCCATCGATCACCGCATTCACTGCTGGCTCCTGCTGTAGGGCGCTGGACGCCGCCTGGATGCACGGGCACACACACAGAGACACAGAGAGACAGACACAGACACAGGCACACACGCAGAGGCACACAGGCAGAGACACACACGTCAATGTAGTCACGATACATGATGTCATCCCCATCGATCACAACATTCACTGCTGGCTCCTGCTGGCTCCTGCTGCAGCGCACTGGACGCCGCCTGGCATGCATGGGAAAACACAGAGAGACAGACACAGACACATACAAAGACACACACACACACAGAGGCAGAGAGAGAGAGAGACTTTTCCATGTAGTTGCAAAACAAAATGTTGTCCCCATCAAACCCCGCATTCACTGCTGGCTCCTGCTGTAAGGCGCTGGACGCCGCCTGTCATGCACAATGACGAAGACAATGAATGGCAGGGCCGCCGCCCACAAAGCATATTCATGCGTTCAGCATGTGCGCTCAGAGCGGGCGTGTACTCAATCAGATGGAATTAATATGCGGCGCACCGACGATGAATCCTGCCATGCACGCACACGGCACGGTGCACATATGGCAGGCTTACCTCGGTTCACAACCTCTGAGAGGTCTTAGATAGCCGAGGCTTACCGAGGCTACCAGGAATGCACGCACCTACGTGGCGTAGATATGTAGGATTCTACCGGTACGAAGCTGTACCTTGACGAAGGCGGACATGAAGCCGAGCTTGATGCCGTGCTTCTCATAGAAGGCGTCCTTGAAATCGTTGCGCAGCACGATCAGGTTCGTCCTGGTGAGAAACGGGGAGGTATGGAGGGGCAGTGGGGTGGAGTGGCAGTGGGGGGGGAGGGAAATGCAGAGCCCAACTTGATGCCGTGCTTATCAGAAAAGCGTCCTTGACGCGGAGGGCACGCTGGAGGAGCCGAGGCTTACCGAGGCTACCAGGAATGCACGCACCTACGTGGCGTAGATATGTAGGATTCTACCGGTACGAAGCTGTACCTTGACGAAGGCGGACATGAAGCCGAGCTTGATGCCGTGCTTCTCATAGAAGGCGTCCTTGAAATCGTTGCGCAGCACGATCAGGTTCGTCCTGGTGAGAAACGGGGAGGTATGGAGGGGCAGTGGGGTGGAGTGGCAGTGGGGGGGGAGGGAAATGCAGAGCCCAACTTGATGCCGTGCTTATCAGAAAAGCGTCCTTGACGCGGAGGGCACGCTGGAGGAGCAGGATTGTTACAAGATACTGCCATACAATTGTTGTTGCACTACAACAATTCTATGGCAGTGCGATGCGCAGTGCTTGATAAAGATGTAAGTGCGTTTTTATTTACATAGGATGATCACCTAACTTCTTTATTCTGTTTTCTGCACTCACCTGGACAACCAAGCAGGATATCAAAAGCTTGCATGGTTGGGCTTTTGAAATTCCAAATCCCGTTCTGATTTCAACATGTTCGAATATGAACCAGCGGACGACGATGAACAAGACGAGGGGGGGAACGAAGGGAGGAGAATGAGAGAGAAACATTTGGTTCGTTCTTAAGTCACTACATGGCTGGAATGGCATCCGAACTGGGGCATGTTCTCTTGAGACGGCGCTTCCCTTATGAGTTCGTTTTTATCACACGCGAGCAGTTCGAGCGAGCAGCCGAAATAGACGTGGACTGGTTTGGTTCTTGGAACAGTTTGATTCCATACCACTCCCCACCCCTCCACGCATCGGCCTCTGCTTCCACCTCTTTCAACCCTGCACATTCTCCTCCACACCTTTCCGTTCCTCACGCTCCCCACCTTCTCTTCCACTCCCTTTTCCACTCTCTCCCACTCTTATTGGTCTCAACTTCAGCAGCCCCTCCAGTTCATTCTCACCTCCTCCCTCCCCGGCATAGCCTACGAATCAAACTGTTCCAAGAACCAAACCAGACCACGTCTATTTCGGCTGCTCGCTCGAACTGCTTGCGTGTGATAAAAACGAACTCATAAGGGAAGCGCCGCCTCAAGAGAACATGCCCCAGTTCGGATGCCATTCCAGCCATGTAGTGACTTAAGAACGAACCAAATGTTTCTCTCTCATTCTCCCCCGCTTTTCACGAAATAACTACCATCACTCATTTTCGTGGCCGCGTAAATACCTGTCGATGACAGGCGTCCGGAAACACGAACCCCTTCCATTCGTTCTTCCTTGATGTGTGTATGCGCTCCATCTCGGCTTAACCACCTCCCATAGAACCTTTCACCGTGTTTATTAACGTATAAAAGATCCTTGTCCCCCCCCCCCCATCTCTCTCTTCCCCTCCCCCTTCCCCTTCCCCTCCGCCGATCTCACCTCCACCTGTCGTTGCCAATCTTGAACTCCTTCTCACTTTCCTTGGCCCTGCACCATCGGCTCCCTCCCTCTCCTTCCTCATCCTTTTGCTTCCTCTAACTCTGCTGCCCGCAATTCCACTGCCGTTCGCCGCTGGACTCCTTCAGCAAGCTGCAACCTGTTCCTCCAGCGTGCCCTCTGCGTCTTGCAGCTGGCGTTTCAACTACGAAGAAATTCTAACATGCTTAGAAAGCATGTTCTGCGACCACTCACACAACAACAATACTCACATGTCGATCTCATTGAGCGTGGTGAGCATGACAAACGTGTTCAGTGAGTCCTTGAGGCACAAGTGCGTGCTGCTAAGCCCGTCGCAAGTTGTACACTTTACTCACAGCCCTCTCACACGGAGACACAGAGGCAGCACTCACATGTCGATCTCATTGAACGTGGTGAGCATGGCGAACGTGTTCTGTGAGTCCTTGAGTCGCTGCGCCACACGCCGCCGCAGCCGCGTCATGGGCACCTGGAGGAGGAAAGGAGGGTAGAGGATACAGGGCAGCGTGCACAGCAGCGCAACACCAATATACGTGAGCAAAGGGGGAAGGGAGCACGATGAGAAGGTGAATTGTTTATCAACCATCTCAGAAGTCGTGTTCTGTGAGTCCTTGAGTCGCTGCGCCACGTGCCGCCGCAGGCGAGTCATGGGCACCTGGTGAGTGGGGGTGGGGGACGAGGGCACCACGCATGGCAGCATCAAATGCGAGGGCAGAGGGGGAGGGCGCAAGACAAGAGAGTGACTTTTTAATGAGCCGACTTAGAAACTCGTGTTCTGTGAGTCCTTGGAACAAAAAGCACCACACGCCGCCACATGCGTGTCAGGGACACCTGGAAACGGGGGGAATGGTTTGAGATATGGACATGAGTCCACGCATGGCAACCAAAGTGTGAGGGCAGACGGGAAGGGAGAAAGAGGGACTTAAGACCAGGACCTGGGATCGAAAGGAACGTGGCTGACGAGATCGAGGCAAAGGTGCAAGGCACTTTATGGCTAAGATTCAGCAGCGTTGGCCACGAAAACCTACCCGTCGCTCCTTCTGCCTGGGGATAATGGGCAGAACAGAACCCCCCGCAGGAGCAGCAGCAGCAGCAGATGGCCGGGAGGCAGGTGGAGGGGGAGGAGGCGGGGGAGCAGCGAGGGCAACAGGCACGGGGCGGGGCCCCTCCACGGCCTCGACGACACGGTCAGCGAGCGTGGTGGAGGCGGGAAGGGCCTTGGCGCGGCGCACGACAGCAATGGGCGTGCCGGGTGTGACAGTGTCGCCCAGCTGCACGCTCACTGCCTCCACCACTCCCTCGTCTGGACTGCGCACGTCTATCGTCACCTGTCAGTGACGGGGGGGGGGGGGGGGGGGGAGCAGACGGGACACAATGGAATATTGGTGCTTTGAAACATGCATTTGTGGTGGTGGGGGTGGAAGATTTCCTTCGGTTGGATAATGCGGTTATGCCTTCACTCGTGCCGAGAGTGATAGTGTCGCCCAGCTGCACGCTCACTGGCTCCACCACGCCCTCATCTGGAGTGCGCACGTCTATCATCACCTGCCAGTGTCTCAAAGGGAGAGAGGAAGAGAGGGGGATTGTGAGTGTCTCAAAGGTCACCTTGCTCTCGACCACACCCTTGTCTCAAATACACACGTCAATGGTCGGTCATCAGCAGCAGGAATGGAACTTGGAAGGATAGGTGGGGCACCGAGGGAAGAGAAGAGAAAGGCGAGCAGTAGGTAATGACGAAAAATGGACACTAGAAAGCATGGGAAAGGCATGGCTGACGCGAGAACCTACGCCCTTACACATGCCCTGCCGTCTCCCTCCACCCCCGTTGCTCACCTTGTCTGTCTCCACCTGTCCGATCACTTCATCCATGCGCACACTGTCGCCCACACCTGCACCCACACCACACCACAAGGGACACGGAAGACAAGTACATTCAATGAGCTGGAGGCACAGGTGCAGTGCAGTGCAGCAGCTGTGTATTCATGAATATCCCCCTCACTCACTCTTGAGCAGGGCAGCCAGCACACCATCGTTGACAGACTCCCCCATGGTTGGCACCACCACCTCCACCATGTCGTCCCCATGCACCACGCTGTACTCATCCACCCCCTCGCCCTCGCCCTCCCCCTCCCCCTCCCACTCCTCACCTGCTACCAGTTGTCCCTTTGGGAATTTCAAGAGCGAACATCACTCATTCCCCCTCACTCACTCTTGAGCAGGGCAGCCAGCACGCCATCGTTGACAGACTCCCCCATGGATGGCACCACCACCTCCACCGTGTCGTCCCCATGCACCAAGCTGTACTCATCCACCCCCTCGCCCTCCACCTCCTCATCTCCTATTGGCCCCACCGCTGCTTCTGCTGCTGACGGCGCCTGCACTCCTCCTGCTGCGGGCTTGGCTGGTGGTGCGGCAGAGGAAGGGGAGACGAAGGCGACGGTGGTGCCGGGAGTGACCGTGTCTCCCACCTTCACTTCAATCTGCATGGGGAGATGGATGAACAAGATGGAGGGAGCAGATGGACGGCCGGATGAGATGGGAGAGATGAAACCGGAGTGAGACGCAAGAACAGGAAACCAGTTACATAGAGAACGGAGAGAACAGTGTGAGAACGCAGGAGAAAGCGAGCAGGAGAAGAAGCACACGCATCTGGGAATCATCAGGAGTGATAAGAAGAGGAGAAGTAGCAGCACGCACCTTCTGCAGGACTCCTGCTCTGGGGCTGCGCACGTCAATGGTGACCTTGTCCGTCTCAATCTGCGCTATAACCTCGTCCTCCTCCACTGACTCGCCCGCCGCTGATCACATGACACCCACCAGCCCGCGCAAGAGGATAAACACCACCAGTCAATGGAACAGATTCCATGCGGAGAAACGCCAGCCAGTGCCATGCAGAGCAGCCGCAGCCAGTGGAGGCGGACAAAAACCAGTGCATGCGCACAAACAACACCAGCCACGCCCAGAGAAACTTAAACCAGAAATTCAAATCGCACAAATCAGCACCATATTATGTGACTATTCCATGCATTTTCGGCAAGCAACAAGCGCACAGAGGTGAGGGAATGCAAAGAAACTCAACAAGGTCACTACCTATAAATTTAAATGAACGACCAGTCGAGGGTCCGAATTGTCTGGCACTCTTTATGGCACGGTGGTCGAAATTTGAGTACCTTTGAGAACGGCAGATATGGATCCATCTTTTATTGACTCGCCCATTGTCGGCACCAGTACTGCTGACGGCAACCCTGCAGGTGACAGTGAATGAGACGTCACCATGGCAGAAGGCAGACCGATCAGCATGCCGCATGAGACATCACACACAGACAACGACATAACCAGTGGTCATGTCATGTGCTGCAGTACCACCACCAATCCCATGCACGATCTCACGGAGTGGGAGTGTGATTTGTGTTAAGAGCTGACTATATGCATCAATTCACCCATGCAACCACGCAACCATGTACCCATACACCCATGCTCCCAAACCTGGCCCCATACGCTACACTCTCATTAGCACCCCATTCTCTCTGCACCACGTCAGCACCTGCGTCGGCAGCCATGAAGCGTACACGGTCCAGCGTACGCCACGCCACGCACTCAGCCATAGCCATGGCGGCTCTGCAACGAAACAATAAGGCCCTTATCAGTCAGAAGCTCAACGCAGCAAAGGATAACGGAGGACAGAAATGCACAGTCTACAAGGATCAACGTGCGGTCCCCATTGAGCCCGCTGCATACCTGTTGCTGTTGTACGCGAACGGGCCTTTCGAACATCCTGCGAAGCAGAAAGATCCGGAGAATGAGATGAGTGCGGAATGCATAACCACGCGCGATGGCCGTACGCGGGAAGAAATACTACGCGGGATGGCCTCACGCGGGATGAAATACCACGCGGGATGGCCGTACGCGGGATAAATTACCACAGCTCACACCCATGTGGCGACGTCTCACCTCCAAGCGTGGTGAGTCCGCGTCGGCTGGTCAGGATGGCGACGGCTTCACTCCGGGTCACGGCGACACCCAGCTGTAACAAGAGCACCCGATCACACATGCTAAAATTAATATTCGTCTAGATAAGCATGGACGAAGTCAGATGGCTAATTAATTATTTATCGAGGGAAGAGCAACGACCATCAGTTGATATACACGGCTTCATTCATTGCACTTGCAAATAAACATTCAAGCGCGAAATCCCTATTTAAAGGAACGAAGGACCAGACGCACTTCCTTGCCGGATCTCCAGGACCCTCGAGCCGCTTGCCTTGCTAACAACCTCGACACCGACCCGAGACCTCTCATGGTGTACGATTAATAAGGAAACAAGCCAGTAACAGCGAGCATGAAAAGGGCGGCACTCCCGTTGCTCAGAGCAGAAAGGACTGGACCAGAACAGTCGCGAGATCCACGGATCTGCGAGCTGCTAAATGATGGTTGCGGTTCGAGCAATGGTACCCAAAGGAACAAGCTAGAGCTTGTCTAGGAAATGGAAGTCTGTTGACCATAAAGCACGAAACTCCCGAGGCACAGGGCCATGGTTGATTGTTTTGAGAACTTTGTGTTCGTCTACTCTAAGAAACCCGGCTTAACCCTTTCAAATACCCATTTGAACGTTTTAGAACAGAAAGAATCTCACTGAACCGCAATGTGGCTCGAATGTGGTGGAGTGGGAAGAACGGCGAAAGCAAACGACCGACAAACTTGACGCCAACACGGCAATAGCCCTGTCATTTGCTGCAATCTTGTCCCACACGTGGTCACATGTGACGTCACGTAAGCGACTGCTGATTTGGCTCCTACTGTTTGGCGGCGCTCCCCCCAAGGGCCCGGGAAATGTGCAATACAATAAGAGGGTAATTGAAAGTAAAACTCGTGTTGAGATAGATCATCAAGAATAACTTCCAAAATCAGAACATTCGCAGTTATTTCATCCAGCCATCTTCCGTATATCGCGTATGTTTTGAATGCTTGAATTGCCTAGCAGGACCTGTAATCTGCTGCAAGCCCTAACTCAAATTCCTCTCCACGACGTTCCAGCCTGACTTCTGGACGTTCACCAGATCAACAGTCCTCACGGGTGATTCGGTGTTTTTGGTTTCAACTAATAGCTCATTTCAATGGAAGGTCAAGGTAACCACGGCCCTGACGAGAAGCCGAAGAGCGAGGGACAGCACATTAATCTCAAAGTCAAGAGCCAGGTCGGTAGAGCATTATACCGTTCTCTGTCCCTTTCTCCTTTCCGTTAAACCTGGTTTTGACGGATGTCCTTGGGGTCTGCAGGATGGAAACGAGGTATTTTTCAAGATCAGGTCCACTTCTACGTTCAAGAAGTTGATGCAGACATATTGTGACCGTCAATCGATTGACATGAACGCCATCGCATTTCTTTTCGACGGCAGACGGTTACGACCTGATCAGACTCCTTCCGAAGTACGCTTTTCCGCGATCGTCGTTTTCCGCTCCGACCATAGTGTGCATATGCAGAATCTCATTTGTCACATGCTGTGTTTCTTTGCAGCTGGAAATGGAGGATGGGGACGAGATTGACGCTATGCTTCACCAAACAGGAGGTCGATGAACCAATCTCATTTTTTTTTCAAATGGTTGACTGGCTTATATCCTTTGTGATGGCTGCCTACAGACGCTTGCAGTAGAATCATCCTTTTGCTAGACGTGTGAGAACCGCTAAGAGCTCAATCTAGGGTGCTGAAAGCTTGGATAAGGGCACTTGCTAGCATCTCTTTGAGGATACATAGCCCTCCTCTTTTTCCCGGGCCTGCAGACTTGACTCAGTAATATACTAGCATAGCCCCTCCTAACATCTTTAATCAGAAGATTTTCTTACCGTATGTAGTGCGAGATTCTTTTTCTCTAACTACCGTATGCTTACCACTGCTTTCAGTCCACTGTTTCGTGGACACAGCAAGCAGATTGCAAACAATCATCACGATAGCTATGCCGTGACGAAACTCGTCCTTTTTCTTTGCAAATATAAGAAGTGTTACATTAAATTACGAGACAGCAACTCATTGTGCACCACATTGATAATCTAGACTGCTGCGTAGATGGGGAAGCATAGAGCTGTCAAGGTTGGTCCTTGACCTTGATGTCCTCCATAGTGGAGGATGGCTGTGAGTGTGTCTTCGTCAATGGGGAGCGGTTGCGAGGTGTACCTAAAGTAGCTCCCAGGACCGCTGTCCGACGTGACTGCCAAGTGCATTCACTTTGAGTGCGGAAGAGAAAGCTTCTGCTTCCTTGATTGCTTGACACTTCCTCGTCGTCCTCGCAGTCTTCCCCCTCCTCACGTTCACGGCCGCCATGACCAAAGGCCTCCTTTACTCGCTCCTGGATGTTGCGCCACGTATCCTCAGGTGCAATCTGCATGGATTTTGAATTTTCCCCTTCTTCACGAGGTGGAACCTGGATACCAAAGATGTTGGAGCTTGTGGGTGCAAAATGGACATGCCGGGGAGGCTTAGATGCTTGAGGACCAGGCCCACCGACTGAAGCGGAATGTTGAAATGCCTTTTCTTGGGCTGGGACACTGGAAGAGTCCTCTGCAGGAACCGACGAAAGAGAAAGATCCTGTAGCGCACGTGTGCTATCATCGTCAGCTGCCATCGAAGAAGCTGACTAAGGTTGTCGTAAACCTAATAAAGAAGGCGGCAGTCGCGGGATTCGGTAATGCTAGGCCACTAAAAGAGATTTCTTCTGACCAGGAAGACTAACAAATCAGGTTCTCGGACACTGAAGTCCAAAAAAAGGATGAGTTTAAAGTCAGAACTATTTCTGCTCAAACCTGAAGTAGATTCAGAAAGACCAAGTGCCACGTCAGCCAAGCATTTGGCAGACGAGCATAGTGGCAGTACCTTCCCCTAAAGACATTTCGTGAGAACAGGTAGGAGAGATTGATGAACACAGCTGTCAGCAAGCACATGGGACTAAATGGGGATGGTGTCTGAAGGCAAAACTGATGGGGAAGTGTAGATCTGTGACACTTAAAAATCCCTTGCTGGCTTGGGCCCAGTTCGGCAGGCATTAAAAAAACGGTTTCCCCGGTTGGACTACAGTAAACCGACCACCCTGGAACCTTCTTTGATAAGCGCGTGAAAGGTTATCTAGGCTCGATATAAGCGGATCATCGCCGAACCAGACAATAATGGAATGCCAGCCGAACACCCCTTTTGACGCTGGCATTTTTTACCAGAGGAAACTTCCTCGAACCCTATTTCCCAGGCAAATGGTCCATTTTCTGATACGCCGCACCATGCGGCCTCGAGAGCCCGCACCACACGGGGTATCAGTGATTCGGGGCAATCGCACATTGCCCTGAAAAAAACAAATCCCGGTCTTTCATGCCCCTCTTCTTGCCCGCTGGAAAATCGTACATCACCAACACACCATCACTAACACATCGAACGCACAGATTCTCTTGCCCGAATTTTTTCAACGTCCACCACTGGTTTGCAGGGCTGCCCGGGCTGCCAGTACAGTGATTCTGGGCTCCATCAGCGCAGCTGCATGCGAGCTTCTGTGAAGTGGCATTTCGGTTGATGCCATTAATCCAGGCCCATTTAAAACCGGGGTGCACATTCAGCTGAATGTGCATCAAAGGTTATCCCTTGACTGAGTGGGTTACGAGGTGTGCTTTCAACCCCTTCAAGTCGAAATTCGTTTCCCCCCTCCCCCGCAATTTCGTTTCCCCACGCCCCCGCAATTTCATTTCCCCCTCCCCGTCGAAATTCGTTTCCCCCCTCCCCCGCAATTTTGTTTCCCCCCTCCCCCGCAATTTCGTTTCCCCCCCCTCCCGCCAATCTGTTTCATCCCTCCCGCCATTCGGTTTCACCCACTCCCGCCATTTCACCCCCTCCCGCCACCTACGAAATGCCCGAAGCTCTAGCGGAATCATTTTTTTGTCGCCCCTCGTGAGCCAATCACTGTTTTTCTCCAAACCCCCTTCCCAACATCTCAAGCCGAACCGCGTTGAATGTGCACCCTGGTTTTAATGCCAACCGAACAGTCGGGCCCATTCTTCTGAAGTTAAACTGCAGCTACAGTCTGACTTCGCAGCTGTTTCGAGGGGCCATTTTTTGGGGGCCCGTTAAAAATGCCCAAAATGGCCATAATGGCCATAATGCCTGCCGAACTGGGCCTTGGTCATCTGTATGACGTGACCTTCAGTCCCTCCCATTCCCCTATCGCAAACCTGACGGTTACAC